GCCTGTGCCGCGGGACCCCGCACGGCGGCTCTCAGGCCAACGCTGAGCTCTTTATTAATAGAGTGATAATATAAAAAGTCTATACTGTTACACGACATCATCCTCCAACACCTGCCTGCTTACACCTATACGCACTCATTTAAATAAATGCATGAAAATATTCCCGTAGAGAAGCGCTGCTCACATTCCCCGGTCCAATGCACAGAACGCAGGAAGCTCCTAACAGGTGACCCGCATCCCGCAGGCACCCGATCTCCGATCGCTGGCTAAAGGCGTCAAATGTTGCTTAAAAAAAGACAAATGCAGAATATCGGAATATTTAGACATGAACGGAAAAGGCGAACTACGGGATTTAAAATTCCACACTTTAAAATATAAAGACAAACGTCACCGTTATAGGGAAAATATGCCTGAAATTCAATCTATAAGACATTTGACCTACAGAAAGTATAAACTTTAAGGCTGTAAAAATATAAACCCACCTTTGCTCTAAATAGCATATTTAAATCTAAAATGTACTTTCAGAGAACATTCCTGTGCAGCTAAAACCAAACTGTGACTCTGCTTTGTGCAGGAACTGTGCAAAGTTTTGCAACAGCCTGGAGAAAGGCGGTTAATGTTCTGGGCCAGGAACCGGCTCGTCACCACCTGTTTTGGTAGGACGGATGGAAGCGTGTGCTGGGCTGATTGAGGCAAGGGCAGAACCCAACATCAGCCCCAGTGGGGTGAGACTGCTGCCACTCACTTGTCAAAGCAACGCTGCCTGTGCGGTGGGCGTCAGGACACTGAGACTTCATTGAATAAACCCACGGGAGTTGTTCTCACTTGGCCTCGTACGAGTGGCACAACGTTCAGGGTAGGCTGCAGATCCAAAATGCTCACCGAGTCAGCGGCACAGGGCCGTGGGCTGTTTCCTCTTCGCCTCCGGCTCCGTATGGTGGGTTTGGCTGAGACTGATGGCAGCTACGGCACACATCCAGCCCATGGTCCCAACTAAGCGCGGGATGAGGAGTGCTTTCCACCACTGGCTAGTGCCTGGCTGAGGCTGGGGCCATGCAGGTAGGAGTGGGAGGGGGCCAGCGGTGCATGGTCTCGCTGCCCTGATGCTGCAAAGCTGCCACATGCTGCTGGTGCAGGCCCAGTCCCGCGGCGGGGTGCCGCACGGCCCTGTCTGCAGGGCTGGGCACCCGGGTCCCTGTGCACCAGGAAGGAATCACAGTCGCACCCCCACCTCCAGCCGTGCAGATGCATTTTCTGGCTCGGACTCACGCTGCATCAGGATGGTGCTGTGCAGAGAGCTGCCGCAGACACCAACGCCATGCAGACCCATCCCGTGGCTGCCCCGTCCTCCTGCCTGCATGCAGCCACCCACCCTCGTTCAGCTCTGCTTCGGCCCCAAAGGACTGTTGTTGCAGCGGGGTCAGCAGGAGAGAGGATCCTGGCTGCAGTGCTGTGCCTTCAGCTTTCCCCTGCTGGGATGAACCCCTGATGCTCACTGTGTGCCATCCTTGGCAACTTGGCATCCTTGCTCCCGCATCATTGGCAGAAACTTCCCACGCAGACAAGCTGGGAGCGCTCCCTGCCCAGGAATTCAGTGCTTGGAGTTGCTCAGTGTGGTGGGAAATGCCCCTGAACCTTGGTCGCTTCAGAGACAAATCTGTTCCCAGTCCAGGCCCACTGAAGGCATCGGGTTGCAGCAGTAACAGGGTTAGCTCAGCCTCTGGAGTTTCAAAGTGCTTGGAAATCTCTGAGGCAGAGAATTGTCTCCCTCTCCAGCACAGTGAGGGTACCAATACATTCAGTTGTTAGGGAGGGGTATTTCTGCGCTTCCAACCTCGCGCAGCATTAAGCTCCTTTCCTTCCTGGTAGGCACTTTACAAACACATCAGCCCCATGGCTCCCTGGCGTGGGGCTCCGGATGGGTTTCTGTGTCAGAACGAGCGGGATGGAAGAAAAATGGATTGTAAATAATGAGGAGTAAGTGAACCGCAGGCAGGAGCCTTCGTGCGAAGCCTGATGATCTCAAGTGGTCTGGGATCAGATCCCTCAGGTATTCACTCCTGGGGAAAAGTCCAGAAGTGAATGAAGAGTACAAGAGAGACACTTCAGCTGTTTGGGCTGGATGCCCGGGCTCTCCTTACAGCTCTGGCAAGTGGGAGCAGGAACCTCCTGATTCACCCCCGGGGCCCAGGTCTGATCCCCACGGCAGCCAGCGCTTCCCCAGCACTTCCCCAGAGCTGTGTGACCACTCGGTGCGGGAACTGTCATGTTTCTGCAGGGAGAGCACTGATTTGATAACCTTCCTGGGAAAGAACGGTGACACAGCTACTGGGCCACTATTTCCTCGAAATCAGAGAGCTGCCGCATCTGCTCTACTTGCATGGAGTGTCTCCGGAGAAGCTTCCTTTTGGCTCTCAAGTCGCCCCGTCTGGGCGAGCTGGGAGCGATGGGTACTAGGGACTTCAAGCCAGCAGCAAGCAGGGAGGAGGTTTTGCTGTTGGAGCCGATGTCGGGGATCAGGGGGTTGGGGTTCACGTTCAGGGGGGGCAGATATCCTGGTCTTGTGTGGGAGATGTGGTCCAGCAGCAGGGTCCCGGACCCTCGCCTCTCCAGCAAACCAGGGGGTCGGCACCGGACAGTCCCGGGTGATGTGCTGGCAATGCTGTCCAGGGACTCCCGCGAGCCGCCCAGCAAGGCCAGGTGGGAGCCACTGAGCTTCCTCCTCTCTGACGGCACCTTCCCTGCCTCGGCTGGGCTGGGGATGCCAGAAAGCTGGGGGTCACAGTCATAGTGTTCGGTGCCCAGCCTCCGCCAGTGCAGCGCATCCATCACCGTGGCCGAGCCGGTAGCAGCGGAGCTGACGCTTTCTGGCTCTTCGGGGACTGTGCTCCTTCGGGGCAGGCGCTGGTGGGCAGTCTGGCTCTTCTCGTAGGCTGCTTTCCTCACCAGTGGCCCAGGGGCTGGCAGTGTCCTCAGAGCCTGCTTGTCTACCGGGGGGAAGAGAGAGGGGTCCTTGCTCTTGCTGCTGCCGCTCCGGGTGAGTGGAGACTTTTTGGAGAGTGAGAGGTCGCCGATGCCCATGATCACCTCATCATCCGCACAGACCTGCGTGTCGTCGTGGTGCATGGAGGCCGCCAGGACCGAGGGCGCAACCAGACCCCACGGCTCTGACCACAGCCGTTTCAGCTGGGGCAGGCGGGCTCTCCTGGCCATGCCAGCTCTCTGTCCCGGGGAGGGGGGCTCGTCGGCAGCCCTGGCAGAGGGGGTGTCCCCGGGGTGTGATGGGTGTGGGCCAAAGATGCCGCTCTCCTTCTCAGTGGGGGAAGGTGCTGAGACGGGAGTTTTCAGGTGGGCGCTGGAGGGTGCTGTGCACGCCTCGGGGGGGGCCCTCTCCTTGAACTCCAGCGAGGGGGGAACGTTCAGGTACTGCTTGGCGGTCTTGGTGCCAGAGGCCGATTTGTCCATGGTGATAATGATCACCTCCTTCCCTTTGGCCTTGCAGGCATCCAGGAGGTGCTGCAGCACGTCCTTGTCATTGGCATTGATGGTGTGGACCAGAGCTGATGCTCCCGAGTGGTCCTCCAGGCTGGGGTCTGCCCCGTTCTCCAGCAGCAGGGACACGACGTCCCCCCCGGCACCGCAGATGCAGGCATGCATGAGGGCTGTTTTCCCGGACTTGTCCTGGATGTTGGGGTCGGCTCTGTTGTCCAGCAGGTACTTCACCATCTTGGCCTTGTTAATGCTCTGCTGGTCGACGTGCTTGGTGATGCAGGCCACCATCAGGGCAGTCTCCCCTTTCTCGTTGCTCTCATTGATGTAAGCCCCCCCTTCCAGCAGCAGCCGGGTCAGCCGGAGCCGGCCGAGCCACACTGCCTTCAGGAGGGAGTTCCCCCCCATCTCCAGCT